CCGGGGGGGGGCCGGGGGAGAGTATTTTTCAGGAACCGCCCCCCCCCCCCCCCCCCCGCCCCCCGGCCCCGGGGGGGGGCCGGGGGAGAGTATTTTTCAGGAACCGCCCCCCCCCCCCCCCCCCCGCCCCCCGGCCCCGGGGGGGGGGGGGGGGGGGGGGGGAAAGCCAAGATGCTTTCTGAAAGGAAGATTTCTGAACTGGGCAATGGAGTCTTTGGAGTTTCTCCTTCGTAGACTTGGTGTCTTCCTTTGAATGCTAGGATCCCTCAGCCGGCCTGCAGCGTGCGGGGACTTTCCCACAAAGTCCCATGTGGGCTGTCAGAGCTGAAGCCCCAGAGGACTCTCGTCTCCCGCACAGCTGCCAGCTTTTCCCTTCCTCTTCATCAGGTTTGAACCCGAGTGGCCAGAAAGGCTCCCGAGCGGCTTTCCCCCTAGGGGGGCACAGCTGTGAGCAAAGCCTCCACGCCTCGGGACAGCCAGGAAGGATGGGAGCCCATTGAGAGCCCCCGTCTGACCCCAGAGCAATATAAACCTCCCGCCGTCCCTTGCGGGATTCCTGCGACTGATTGACTGCGATGTTGCAGCTGAGAAACTTTACTTATAGCTCTGCTTCCTAACAACCGGCTGCTTTAAATGAAATGGAGCCTGCAGCTCCCAATCAGGACTTGTAAATTCTACTGTACACAGGAAATCAACAAGAAAACGAGTATTTTTTAAAAAACAGAAACTAATTGAACGCCAGCTAAGTTACTCCTGTTGGGCCTGGCCCCACTTTTTCTTGGCAAACCCATTTTTCCAGGAATCTTCTCCAATTAATGGGGACTTTAATGGAGATAAATCTTTGAACTGCATGGAAAACTCTCATCTGATTTTGCTGGCCCACCAATTCTGAAACCAAAAAGACAATTTTAAGCAACTGGCAACCTGCTTGCTTCAAGAGAGAGAGAGAGACTTACCCGGTTCCTGTGATATTGTAGTCAGCTGTTGTGATGCCGCCTGTGAAACTTGGTATCTAAGCGACAGGAAATTCCAGGCCCTTGGAGATCACACAACAACACGGGCCTCGTTTCCAACGCCAGCTCCACCTGCCGGGCCTGGGAAGGCAGCCCGGGACTATCCAGAGCCCTGGCGCTGCAGCCATTCCAGAGTTGCCCACAGGAAGCTCCGCCACAGCTGTGATCATCGCGCTGCAGTGACGCAGCAGAGGAAGGTGCCTCCTCCGGTGTGGGATGCGTGGCAGCAAGCGTGGTCCTTTGCCTTCCATGCAAGCAGAGAGCCACAGGAGGGCCATGGCTCAGGGCAGGGAAGCCAATGAAATCGCTTCCACCCGTGGCTACCCTGCAGGGACCCCTCCCGGGGAGCTCCCCGTGGCATCTCGTAGGCCTTTTTGATGCCACCTCATGCTGCCGACTCTCATTCACCGGGAGATGTAAAATCCTTTCCACGCATTCCATTGCCAAGCCCACCCACCCACCCCCCACTTTCCCCCCATTTGCACTGCACAGATTTGCAGGAAGTCCTCCCTTAATGACCACAATTAGGACAGGCCGTTCTGCTGCTAAGAGACCCGGTCCGTAAGCGTGACATCACGTGACTGCAATGGACTTACAGTCTTGACAGAGGAGAAGGTCTCTAGCTCAGGGCTGAACCGAGGGGCTGGTTTTCTTGCAGACCTCTCAGGACCCAACTAGGCCACATCATCAGTGCTGGTAGAGAGTGGGGCTTAAACTGACCAGGTTTGCATCCAGATTTCAGACCCAAACTGAATCAGGCCTTCTTTGAATCTCAGATCTCCAATCAAATCAAGGTCGATTTGCACAAATTGGTTTTTGGTCCCATTAGAAAAGGAAATGTGAGTGATGTTAATTATTATTATTTTTTGCAGAAAACAATCAGAGGAAAAAAAGTCCTTCCTGTTGAAGTGGCAGGTAAAATCTTTTCGTGGTTCCACTGAAATCGATCAATCCGTCCATCACTTGAAGCTATTTCCCCCCCCCC